ATTTGCAGAAAGACGTGCTTCAGCACAAAAAAGGGAGTAAGGAGATACTTTTATTAAGATGAAATACAATTTTTTAGCGAACTCTGCAGATAAAAATCACAGTTTAATAACCACCTTTTCTTCCCTTGAAGAAAAGACTTAAATAAGCATCATGGATTCTATGGGATGATGAATATGTGGTCCAGGCAGGTTAGGTCAGAGAGGATCAGCATAAAGGAGTCGCTTCTAAGAGTCCACAGAGATCCTGGATCAGCAGCTCAGCTTCTCCTGGTCAAAGGAACCTTTTCTTCCAGGTTGGTTTCAGCATGTGCTGCTCAAACTGAAGAAGACATTTTATTTTCTCATTTTGTTCACACAAGTGTAAAGAAAAATAAATGTCATTAAGTACAGCTCTCTGGACTATTTCATTGTTTTAAAGTGCAGCCTTGATAAAGGTGAGCAGCAGTGATAAAAACATTGTGATTAAAAAAAGTGATGTAAACATATGACTGTATAGTTACAGTTCAAACATTTCAGGGGTTTTTTATAACCCATTTTACATAACATTTAGCAGTCGAATGGCGGTGGGAAGAAACTGTTCTGGAATCTAAAAAACAAAGCAGATCAAGAATCTACTCTTTGACAAATGTACTAAATAATCACCTTCCAGCTGAGAACCAGAAGGCTGCAGACCTGCGTCTCACTAGAGGGGTTTCAGTTTGAGCTTTGGCTTCTGGGACGGCCACCTTCCAATCTTCTTTGTCGCTTCCTTCCTCTCATCCTGGTTTCTGGAATCCGATGGGCGAACTTAAGCTTAAGAGCTTCAGCGATGAGACCTGCTGGGTCTGACTGCTCTTTGCACCAGAAAAACGATCTAGAAATAAGTAAAAAATGTCTTAAATCAAGTGTAGTTACACTTAATTTGAGCAGGTAAACGGGATAGTTTGCAAATGTAATGAGTTGTTTTACTCCTAAAATAAGATATTTAAATAAAATACACTTGAAATAAGACAATGCAATTGTGTTTTCCTTTTTTTAATGTAAATTGTCTTGTTCCATTGGCAAAATGTATCTTTAACCTCCTCAGTCAAAAAACAAATACAATTATTTTAAGAAAAAATGACTTATCTTGATTTCTTCCAATGTGGTTTTCATTTTGACTACAGCTTCCTCTAAAGGGCTTTAAATGCAAAAGGAGAACATTTTAATAGAGTCCCAATTAAAGTTTATACACATATATATATATATATATATATATATATATATATATATATATATATATATATATATATATATATATATCATCAGTTCATGGAAAACTGAGAAAACAGTAAACCTTGTACCTGACAGCAGCATCTTTTCCTGAGCCATGACAGTTTGAGCTGTCTGAGTTTCCAGAGCGTTGATCTTCTGGATCGCCTCATCGTTTGGGAATGTTGGACCCTGTGGATCAGGAGGGCCCTCATAGAGACCAGGCAGGTACCTCTGAAACATGAAGCCTGATGGGATCCCCGTCTGCTTTAATCAGGCCTCGAGTCAGAAGGATTCCAACATTTTATACAGGGTTTTTATTTCACCTCAACTTTCTCTCATTTTGTCACATTTCAAACATGAAGCTTGGATATATTTTTATTTAACTTTATTACAACAGAGCAAAGCAAAGCAGTGAAGGGGAAGTCACTATTATGTTTGTCCTGTCACAGGTTCTTCCACCTGAGCTGAGAATCTCTGCAGCTCCTCCAGAAACTCCTCTTTTATACTGAGCTCAAATTGCAACAGGTGGACTTTGTCCTAAAGCGATGATTTGCAAAGGCAATAGATTGTCTTAAATTTCATTTAAGGGTATCAGTGTATAGACGTCTGAACATAAATGGACACTGCAATTTTTAACTTTTAGCAAAATTTAGCAAAAGAGAAATAAAAACGATTTTTCATGAAGAAGCACTACTATGGGATGGTTTATGACCTGTAGTCCCAATTAAACACCAAACTTTGAGAAAATAAACAAAAAATGTGAGAAAGATATAAATGTCCTATGAATCGACTGATTGTTGACAGCAGCAAAATATTACAGCAAAACTGGTCACACCAATGTGGACCTGAAGAAGTGCATAAAAATAACACAATAAGAGACAGTAAAAACAAATTAAAAAAATAAACAAATAAAAACTGTACTGAACAATGTTTTTACACACATATAATCAATATACAGCTGTGGACATTTTCACAGTATTTACAGTATTTTTTACTATATATATAGTATTAACAAAATAAAATGCTTTACCACATACATATATCCTATCAGTAATACTCTATTAATCTAAACACCGCTAAGAATATTTAAATACACTGAACAATTCGTTTGTTTTCAGCAAAAAGAAATAAAAATAACCGTGAAAAAATGAGTTCAATATTCAGCGAGTTAAAGTTGATTAAAATTGATTCTGTGCTGCTCAACACGTCACTGAGCGCAGCTGTTGACCTCCCCAAGATGGCGCCCGTAATTCCTGCGCCACGACAGTCAATGCGGGGTCTGCTCTACGCAGCAGCTGATTAAATGAAACTGAAAGTATTTCGGTTTATTTCCTTCAGCCTCCATGTTAAGTCGCAGACATCTAGACAGTAACCAGGGTGAGTTCTAACACTTTCTATTAAACACATTCTGTCCGTTTTTACATTTTTCTTTGGCTTCATGTCTGATATGTACGACGGAGTATTAGGGCCACACATGAAGAGAAAAAATATTTTTGCCATGACGAGATTAAACTCGACATGTCGACTTTAAACTCGCCCTGTCGACTTTAAACTCGCCATTTCGAGAATAAAGTTGAAATGACTGACATGTTCTCAAATTCAGAACTGCGAGCCTGGGTAAGCATAGGGAAAGACGTTACGTTATTATTGGTAGGCCACCGCTTCCTGTGATGATTATACAGTTGCAGCACGTCAAAGACTACCTTCACTCATAAAAAGCAGACTGCAGCTGTGGAGCGCGGTTGCTCTTTTCTCCAAACTTTGGAATGTCGAGATTGAAGTCGCCACGATATATCAACTTTATTCTCGAAATGGCGAGTTTAAAGTCGACAGGGCGAGTTTAAAGTCGACACGTAGAGATTAAACTCAACATGACATTTCAACTTTATTCTCGAAATGTTGAGTTTAATGTCGACATGTCGACTTTAAAGTTGACATGTCGAGTTTAATCTCGTCATGGCAAAAATATTTTTTCTCTTCATGTGTGGCCCTAATACTCCGTCGTAGATATGTACCTGGAGGAGGAGAAGGAGGTCAGCATTGAATGTGTTCATACTTGTTCAGGGTTGCGGCGAGGCCTAGAAGAAGCAGCCCATCCTGAACCACCATCAGAACGGAATCGTCTTTTATTTGGCAGTTAAACATTTCGTCCCGTATTGAACCAATAAGGTTTGTTCCTTGTTTTCAGAAATGTCTGACACACATATCTGTCAAACTAACATCAACACGAACCCAGTTCGCTACAGTTTATTTCTATAGGGTGTAACTTTGGGATAAAAGCTGGTGGGGGCGCTCTAACCCTGAAATCCCACATACTCCGTCAGCGCTCCGCCCCGCCCCGCTGCGCTCCAGACCGCCTGCGCAAAGCAAAGCCTACAGTTTCTTGGAGATCGTAGAGAGCATGCGCGAGATGAACCAGGGTTTCCACGGATCATTAAAAATAATTACAATTCATTCATTTTTTCTTTAAATCAAGGCCTTAATTGGCACTAAAATTATTTAAATATGTTTATCGAAGTATTTATAATTCTTTAATAAAAAATGCTTATAAAAACAATTTCATCCGATATATTATATCGCTATTAATTTGCGTGAAACTGATCATAAAGCCGTATGTTCGGAAAGGAAGCTCGAGGCGGAGAAAAAGCTAGAGAACATATATATACGTATATATGTGTGTGTGTGTGTGTGTGTGTGTGTTTACATACATACAGGAGTCATGATACTGTGCTTACAGCTCCTTCATATTTCATGGACACTAATAACTTGTGTACATGGTTCTTGTTGATGGCATTAAAATCATTTCTAATAGCATTAAAATAGCATTAAATTAGAGTCACTCATTCCTGTATGAACCCTGTGAGCGCTTAATTTAATATGGCATATTTAAAAAAATCCCACCATCATCCAGCAGATGTTCAGTTTCTGCCCAAATATATAAATATATATTTGTAGATTTTTGTAACGGGGATAAGGATAATTCAAAACAGCTTTTTTTGAATGAACTTGTTCTCTACTCCCAAACTCAGCATCTCTTTTCATTCCTGTAATAAGAAGTTTCTTTTGAATGGATTTGATTAAACTTTAAGTCCCTCGGTATAAAATAAATATTTTGATGGAGATGAGAAATGTGCTTCCTGGTTGGTGAATGACCAATAGTTTGGATCCAATCATTTAAATAAACGGTGTTTTATATATATATATATATATATATATATATATATATATATATATAAGAATTGTGCTATAATTTCTAGTCACCGATCTGTTGCTGCTATATTTTAATTTGACGAACCGGAATTTGTCGATGTTCTTTTTCCTGTTTGGTGTGATTGCAATTGCGGATCATGACCTGGCCGGACCGGAGCGGAGCAAAAAATAGCTCGGCTCCGTAATTTGTCGGTGACGGATGGAGAAGACGTACGTGGACGGAGACATGCGGAGGAGTAGCGGTGGATGTGGAACAGCTCTCATTGATTTCCATGAAAGACAAGCGCTCCGCACGACTACGTCAGCGGGGCGGAGCAGAGCGCTGACGGAGTATGTGGAATCTGGGGGTAAGGGTGGAGGCTCTCCACGTACGTCTTCTTCATCCTTCACTGTCAAAATACGGAGCAGAGCTATTTTTTCTTCTTCCCTCCAGTCTGCTGGAAGCCGGCCAGGTCAAGATCCGCTATTTCAATCGCACCAAACAGGAAAAAGAACGTGGAGAAGATCCGGTTTGTCAAAATAAAATATAGTAACAATGGATTGGTAACTACAAATTAGAGCATAACTCTTATATATTCCAAAAAATTAAGAACGTTTAATTAAATTATTGCATCAAACTATTGGTACTTCAACATACCAGGAAGCCGATTTCTCATCTCCATCAAAGCATTTATTTTATACTGAGCAGCTAAAAAGTTTCATCAAATCCAGTCATAACAACTTCCGAGAGCAAATCTCACAACTTCCAAAGAAACTTCTTATAGCAGGCATGGATGAAGAGATGCTGATTGAGGAAGTAGAGAACAAAGCAACTTTTTCTGATCCTAATTATCCCTATTACACAGACTCACAGCGGATGGAGGATCTGGAATCTGAGGGTAAAGCTGCAGACGCTGTGACAGACGGCTCATTTTAAACGCCGAATATAATACATCAAGCTTAATCAGCCCTTAAAGGACAAGACTAAAAATATTGAGTTCCACTGAAATGTTTTTTTTTATACGAATTCAAATATGAAAAGTGTGCTTTATTAGACAATACATGTATTTTATAGAGAAACTATGAAAAAAGAGAACCTGCTGTATTAATTTAATGGAGAGAAACATTAGCTCTTATCAGAACCCAACATCCTCAAAGTCGGTTCATCCTCTGCTTATTAATTCCAGTAAACAGACGCTGTTAATTGCTTGTTAATTGTTAATCTTTCAGCAGCCAGAGCACGGAGCGGAACCAAAAGTTACAGGAGGGTAATCCAAGCCGTGGTCAGGTGATAGGTCCAAGGTCGGCAGCAGGTAGAATCTAGATGACAGTCCAGAAAACACAAAAAAGGCCAACAGAGCAAACAGGAGCGGTCGAAAACTCAGAAGACCGAGGGCAGAAACAGGCCAGGAAGGCTGGGGTCCAGAGGCTTAAATAGCAGCAGGAACAGGTGGATAAGATAAGAAGTAATGAGCACAGGTTGGAGCAAAGCAGAATAGAGCAACAAGAAAAAAACAGTTTTGCTTTGCTTTTCCACTGAGATTTTTAAAACTGGTCAAATAACCTCCTGCAGCTTCAACAGGAGCAAAGTTGGACAGATGGAGAAGAAAGTCCTCCTCAGGGGGTTTCTGTTGCTACATTACTGTTAAAATGGAGCTGAGGACCTGAACCTCTTTACTGCTCCACATAGACCAACCAGACATATTCAGCCTCTTTCATCTTCAGATTCACATTCTGTCTAGTTTTTCCTCTTCTTCTTCTGAAATGTTCTGCATCTCATTCCCTCTTCCTGCTGTTATTATGCTGGGCTTGCAAACATTCCCACATCCAAAGACTGGAAGCTGTAGCTGTGCCAGAGTTCGCTTCTCTGGTCCGTTTTAGGTTCTGGACGGGTTAACAGCAGCATGATAGAAACCAGACTCTGGCTAAAAGCATTCCAAAGGTTTGGTGTAAAGTATCTCAGGGTCCTGTTCATCAGTGAGGGGAGAATGGAGCGGGAGATCAATAGACGGATCTGTGCGGCTGCTGCTATAATGTGGACGCTGCATCAGTCTGTTGTGGTGAAGAGAGACATGAGAGAAAAGGCAACGCTCTAGATTTAGATTCCCTACCCTCACCTATGGCCATGAAATGTGGATCGTGACCCAAAGAAGGAGATCCAGGATACAAGCAGCTGAAATGAGCTTCTCTGCATGGAGGCTGGGCTCTCCCTTAGAGAGAGGGCGAGGAGCTCAGTCATCCAGGAGAGGCTCAGAGTAAAGCTGCTTCTCCTCCACATCCAGAGGAGTCATCTGAGGAGGATCAGACATCTTTGTCTGATGCCCCCTGGACGCCTCCCTCAGGAGGAATTCCAGGCACCTCCCACCAGGAGGAGACCCAGGGGACCATGGGGGGAATAAATCTCTCTGCTGGCCTGTGAGCTCCTCTGGCTTCTCCCAAAGCTGGGATTGTCTCTGCTTACATTTCTAACAGCATCATAGTGTAAAAACTAAATGTCTCTGTAAGTCCAGCTCTCTGATTGACAGATTTTGCTCAAAGCAGGTTAGAATATCTCAATCATTCCCTGTAATGAAAGACGTTGAAATTCTGATACAAGGAAACATTATCTCCACAAATGGCATTTTATTTTACATTCTAGTTTCTCCTTTGATCCAGGTGTATTTCACCCTGCTTAATATTTTCTAATATATCATAGTACAATATTTTAAGCTGTGGGAAAGTCTAGCTAATCCTCTGCCTTAGACTCTGGTTCTAGGGGCCTTTTTTATTCTGGGCCCCTGCCCCTTCACTGGTCTCTGCACGGCCCTGCTGGGAAATTTCCCAGTCAGACATGAAATCAACCTTTTCTTTGCTTCCAAGCTGAGAGAAAGTGAAGCTCACTGTGAGAACATTTCCTGAACAGTTCAAGATGATTTCAGGGAGAAAATGATCCATATAGAAACGGATCAGAATGAAAGAAGAAAAAGAGATTAAAGTCCATCTAAAGCTCTCTGTTCTTCTCCCAGTATATCTGCTGGGAAGTTACTGGTTTCCAGTGAACCAAACTACTTCCTGCGATAAGATGTTGACTAGAAATGAGCTAAAAACTGAGAAAGTGTCAGTGTTTTACAGCTCAGTTTATTGTTGATCCAAAGAGAAGAAGGAATGAAAGGAAACATGTTTAACAGGTGAGCACACCTTGACAGGGGGCGGAGCCTCAGGGGAGGCAGGTAGAGTCTGGAACCAGGTTCTGTCTGTGGGTTTTCTCTCTGTGGACTGTGGACAACTAAAAACTATTAAAAACTGAAGTTCTTCAGTGGTTCTGTTGAACTGGTACCAGTTCTTTTCCTGCTTTGCTGCTTCCTCCTCATGTTGTTGGATAACGCTGACATCAGAAACTCAGAGCCCGTTTTTAGATGAACCATTGAGCTGAACTGGGAGAACTGGTTTCCAGAATCAAACTCTGAAGTCTGCAGATTCTGATTTAGCTGCTGAATAAAAGCTGAAACAGAAAAATCAATCTTTGTTCTAAGCTGGTCTCTGAAATACCAGGAGCTTCCTGCTGTTTCCTGCTTTCCTTGGGTTCTGGATGGCTGCAGCAACTGGTCCCCTATGAGCCCAGTGCTCCCAGTTAGCCTCAGCATGCAGGCTCCTACAGTCCAGTCTGGGCCGGTACCATCAGCCCGTAGGACACCAGAGGGAAGGAGTCAGAACAGAACCAGAATATTTCAGATGATTAGCCCCGCCCACTGCTTTGATTTAGTCCTACAGTCTGTAACCCAGTAAACTTCTAGAACCCATCAGAACCACAGAACGCCTCTTGGACCCATGTTCCACACTAGGAAGAGCTTCAGCAGTTTAGGATCAAAGACGTCATTTTCTGGACTTTCTGATGGAGAAATAATTCAGTCTCCCACATTAGACCTAATTAGAGAACGTTGAAGCATTTGTTTCAGTTTTTTGTTAAATGTTTAATGTTAGGTTTGTGTTCTGCTGTTTAATTTAGATTACTTGATTTATTACAATTAAAACCATAATAATCAGTTATTCTAAACAGAATAATTCACAATTAATAGATACCTAAAATAGCATCAAGGATAAGATTTCGACCCGTGACTACCCCAAGACTCTGAAGCAGCTGGAGGACCTTGCTAACTGGATCGACCTTCGCCTCACTGAGCGTCACAGAGAAACAATGACTTTGGTTTTTCCCCGGCCTGCTCCACATCCCGCACCTTTTGCATCCATGTCGGTCTCTGGTCCGGCTTGGATGCCGGAGCCCGAACGATGCAGCTGGGACACGCATGCTTCTCCAAGGAGGAGAGGGCTCATCGCATCAGTTTTCAGCTCTGTCTCTACTGTGGCAGTGATGGACATTTTCTGAGGTCTGGTCCTTCTAGGGGTAAAACTAGGCTAGGACACACCAGATGCCTCTCCAGCTCTCCTGTTACCAAAGACTAATGTGGTTACTGCCAGAACCCCAGATCCTCCAGTAACCTCAGCCCCAGCGCCCACGGGGCCTGATCCGGATTATTTTTCTCCCCCTTCTTAATTGTGGTGTGGTGGATTTTATTTTTTTTATGGGGATAGGGGAGACCTTTTTCCCTTCCGTTTACCTCCACCCACCCGATTCAGAGAGGGGGGCCCTGCCTTCAAAGTCAGCCGCCTCCTCAGGTCTAGGAGGATAAGCAGGGGGCTCCAGTATTTGGTCGACTGGTAGGGTTATCATCCCAAAGAGAGGTCCTGGATTCCGGCCTGGTTGATCCAGGATACGGACCTCCACGGGGATCATCCTGATCAGGGGAGTCTGGAATGTGCTCTTGAAGGGGGGTGTATATATATATATTTAAAAAAATAGTAGAAGCTGAATATGATTTCATCCCTGCATATATAGTTTCAAATAGGAAAACCATGCATCCATTGCTGTATTCAAAGTAAAATTATCCTCCTTCTTAAACAGCAAGAGTTTTTTTCCCCACATATATCCTTGACAAAGACTTGATATCAAAGGTTTTATTTTAAATCATTGATTCCCTGAATATTACTGTAATGTTTTTGCTTTGAATCTCGCAGGTTTCTTAGATTTAAATTTTAAGTCTCTCTTGGCTGTGAGTCTGCCTTCTGCAGCTGAGTTGGCAGGTACAGCTATTTCTGACTCTGGCTGATTTACAAAAGACAAAAGTGCATTTTAAATATAACATGTAAAATATTTCTGAGATTTTATTGCATGTTTCATATCCCAGTAAATCAGTTTTATCTTTCTATCTGTAGCTGTCCTTACTTCATTGTGCTCTGCTGAAAAACACACGGCATTAAAATGTCGACTAATATAATGATGCTAGAGAAACTAATTTTCAAGTCAACTCTAAAGGACTTTAAAATCTCAGTAATTTGGGATCTCTAGAACTGTTGCAGTCTGATAAATTTCTGTTAAATAACAAAAAGATTAACAGGAGTTAGTTTTTACCTTTAACTGTAGCTGATTATCCTCTGAGGAGCTGAGAGGAATTGTTTTTTTAAACTAGTGAAGAGGAACAAAACATTTAATCACAAAGTTTTGTCAGAATGAATGGCTTTTAATACCATCCTGCACAGCATAAACACTCTGCTGCTGTTTATTTTGTTTAAGCTGAGTTGTCTAAGGGATTTTTCCATGGCATCTCTTTTTTTTTAACCAACCTGTCTTGTAACTCTTAGTTCAAAATAAAACGTGAAGTAGAAGATGAACAAGTGTGCAAGTTATTGGTGGGGACTGTCCCCACCAGTCTTTCAAAAATGTACACCTATGTATGCCCTGTGAGTCCAAAGTGAAAAGTCCTGGTCTGTTGTCATGGTTACTGTCCCTCCCTTTAACTCCTCCCACCTGCCCAGCATCCATCTCAGGTAAAGTTCTGACTGCAGGTAAACTGGTTCTACTGGTTCTCCTTTACCTGCCTCCATCTCAGAGCCTGTTTTCTTCAGACAGAGAGGACAGAGTCCCTCCCTCTAAAACCACTCTGTGTGGAGAACATGAGGACCAGAGCAAAGCTCAGAGGTCAGATCACCATCTCTAACTGTCCAGGACTTTTCTCCATGTCAGAGCTCAGCATGAACATCACCAAACCATCTTTATTCACAGGAAACTAACAGAACCAGAACCTGGACCAGAACCCAGCTGTGTGTCCTTAAAGAGCAACATGTCAAAGGATGCCATCCTTGATTTTAAATCACAGCAATCTCCAGCAGCAAACAGGTAAGATGTTTCTTAATGTTCCACTAATTATTTTAAACTAACTTCATTCCAACATATTAATGTGAACACAACTCTTTCTCTCCCATGTCTGTGTTCACATGTGAAGCAGTGAGTGATGGAGGCTAAATAATGGAAATAATCAAAGGATTGTTTTATTGTGATGATATGAAATGATCTTGTTAGATGATATTGGAGCTAAAATCAGTTGTTCTTCCATCCAGTTGAATCTTTCTGGATCACCTTGTGTCACATTAGTGAACCAGAGTTGGTGCTTCTGCAGAGCTTAAGGTGATGCACATGTAGGCAAGTCATGATGCTGATTCAACTATTAGATGGAAACTAAATCATCCAAACTAAATCTGATGGAAAACATGATCTCTCACTGTTATCTGCAAACATCAGTGAAATCAGCAGCTTCTAAAGTTCATCTGTGTTCATTCAAAATGATCATCAGTCTGATTATTAGCAAACTGCTCCACAGTCTCCTTCAGCAGCCGCTACATGTCATCAGAAATACAAGATCATTGACCTGCTGCTGGGAGGAAGTTTGATGATCATAACAAGATGAATCTTTGATAGGATATTTAGTGTGGATTACTACATTAATGAAAGGTCATTGAATGCACCACCATGGCCTATATTACCATAAAAAGTCAAACAGAAGCTCAGAAATGATCAGCCGAGAATAAAGCTGTTGCTCTAAAGGGGTTTGGTCAACAGTTTAAGACTAGAACAAGTAAAACAAACAACTAGAAGATAAATGAACTTGTTTCTCCATCAGCAGTTCTGACTCTGATCCAAAAGAAGAAAGCTTGTCAGGATAGAAGATCAGAACACATCAAACACTGTTCTACATTCAAACTTTCTGATTATTGTTCAGTTCCTGCTAACAAACCCAAACATCATCCCTTATTAATTACCATCAGAGCTAATTATTAATCCATCATTAATATACGGTTTACAGTGAAACCAGGAATATTTGGATCCACTTCAAACTAGAGCCACTGTGGGATACTTTAGAGTTCTGAGCTTCACTGTTTAACTTTAAATACATTATTAGACTAAGATTGAATTCAGGGTTTTTCCTTCAGGATCCAACAGAACCTCAAACCAGAACCAGAACCCAGCTGTGTTTCCTTAAAGAGTGACAGGTCAAAGGGTCGCCTTATCGATTTTAAATCAGACCGACCTTCAGCTGCAAAGAGGTGAGCTCTGTCTAAATGTTTTAAATGTTTAAAATTGAAATGACTCAGTTTGAAATGTTTTGATTCCATATTTTTATTTCCTTTAATGAAACTTTTGTTTTTTTCTGGAAGTGTTTTCAATTATTCAGTCTCCATTGAGTTCAGGGTAAACATTGTTGGAGGTGTTTCTAAAGGTCTGTAGTTCACCTGTTGGTCCAGCAGGGGTCAGGCTGATTTCAGCTGAAGCCAGAATTTAGGTTAAACATTTTACAAAAACAATCAGTGACAGAATAAGTTGTACTCAGTTCAGACTCTAGACGATTGTTTTGTTTCTGAATTTGTTGCTTGTGATGTTTTCCTCCCTCAGTTTTAATTCATATATTTAATCAGATTACTTTTAAATTAAATAACTAAATGAGGCAAACCAAGATAAATGACCAGTTTAATCCTTTTATCTGGTCATATTTAACTCTCGGGGTCAAGAGTGATACTGTAAATAAATAGAAAAACTTAAATGTTTAAGACAAGCTTTTGTTGGTGGTAAAGAGCAAAACAAACCAACTCACTTGAAATGTCTAATTTTTACCTTCTTATGACCTGTTTTTATTTATTTTATTCCATATGGAAAATCAATATAGAAATTAAAGATGTTTTTCATTTGAAGCAAAGAAATGCCTTGTTAAAGCCACCTGACATTCTGATCACTGCCGCACTTTATAAATGGTAATTTTCTCTAAACTGATTCATCTAAGGATGTAAAAATCTCCAACCATCCTTTGGACTTTGGATTAACTTGCCCATTTTTTTTTTCTAACATAGGCTCTCGCTATAGTATTTTATGGATTCTATGGAATCTTAAACTTATCATTCTGAATTAATATCCATCAATTTCGCTTATTTTTAACATCAGTCTGAGCATCAGAAATCCAAACTCTGATCAGGTAGGAGCTTCCTCTGTGGCGTCTGGGTGTCCCCATTTATAGCTTTTGGATCAGGACACCACAAGGACCTTGGCCTTTTTCTGTTTGTTCTACAGAATTTGAGTTAATGCTTCCTGGTTCCTCCACAGAGTGGACCAGCAGAACTCAGAGGTTCCCAGTGCTCCATCTGCCCAGCAGCATCACACCCAGCTGGACTCCATATTTATGGTCTGTACATGAACTACAACTACCTCTCCATGGGACTGTCAGTCTGTCCAACATGGAGCTGATGTTTGGCTCCATGATCTCAGTCTGATGTGTCCTCCATGTATTCTTCTGTTCAGCTGCTGGAGGAAAACATTGTTAGTTTTGTGAAGAAGGAGCTGAAAAAGATCCAGAAGGTTCTGAGTCCAGATGAACCAGAAGGCTTAGAGAGTCAGCAGGAGGATGAGGAGCATATGAGGAGCAGCAGAGAGGCTTTGGTCAAGATCACACTGAATTTCCTAAGCAGGATGAAACAGGAGGAGCTGGTTGAACGTCTGCAGAGCAGTAAGAAGATTTTTACAGAGATTTAATGATGGAGAAATGATGACTTTATTTCAGTCAGAAGTGCAGAAAGAACAAATAATCTATTGAAAGGAATCTTATGATGCTAATGATATTCTTTAACCTTTCAGAGCTTTTGGCTTCAGTTTTTCAACGTAAACTTAAATCCAGTCTGAAGCAGAGGTTCCAGTCTGTGTTTGAGGGGATCGCTAAAGCAGGAAGTCCAACCCTTCTGAACCAGATCTACACAGAGCTCTACATCACAGAGGGAGGGACTGGGGGGGTCAATGATGAACATGAGGTCAGACAGATTGAAACAGCATCCAGGAAACCAACCAGACCAGAAACAACAATCAGACAAGAAGACATCTTTAAAGTCCCACCTGGAAGAGATCAGCCAATCAGAACAGTGATGACTAAGGGAGTGGCTGGCATTGGGAAAACAGTCTTAACACAGAAGTTCACTCTGGACTGGGCTGAAGGCAAAGCCCACCAGAACATCCAGTTCATATTTCCATTCACCTTCAGAGAGCTGAATGTGCTGAGAGAGAAAAAGTTCAGCTTGGTGGAACTTGTTCATCACTTCTTCACTGAAACCAAAGGAATCTGCAGCTTTGATCACTTCCAGGTTCTGTTCATCTTTGATGGTCTGGATGAGAGTCGACTTCCTCTGGACTTCCACAACAAGGAGATCCTGACTGACGTTACAGAGTCCACCTCAGTGGATGTTCTGCTGACAAACCTCATCAGGGGGAAACTGCTTCCCTCTGCTCTCCTCTGGATAACCACACGACCTGCAGCAGCCAATCAGATCCCTCCTGAGTGTGTTGGCATGGTGACAGAGGTCAGAGGGTTCCAGGACCCACAGAAGGAGGAGTACTTCAGGAAGAGATTCAGAGATGAGGAGCAGGCCAGCAGGATCATCTCCCACATCAATAGATCTAGAAGCATCCAGATAATGTGCCACGTTCCAGTCTTCTGCTGGATCACTGCTACGGTTCTGGAGGATGTGGTGGAGACCAGAGAGGGAGGAGAGATGCCCAACACCCTGACTGAGATGTACATCCACTTCCTGGTGGTTCAGACCAAAGTGAAGAAGATCAAGTATGATGGAGGAGCTGAGACAGATCCACACTGGAGTCCAGAGGGCAGGACGATGATCGAGTCTCTGGGAAAACTGGCTTTTGATCAGCTGCAGAAAGGAAACCTGATCTTCTATGAATCAGAACTGACAGAGTGTGGCATCGATATCAGAGCAGCCTCAGTTTACTCTGGAGTGTTCACACAGATCTTTAAAGAGGAGAGAGGACTGTACCAGAACCAGGACAAGGTGTTCTGCTTCGTCCATCTGAGTGTTCAGGAGTTTCTGGCTGCTCTTCACGTCCATCGGACCTTCATCACTCATGGAATCAATCTTATGGAAGAACATAAACACCTTTCTTTTTGGTCAAAACTATTTAACAACCCAAATCTAACATATCTCCATCAGAGTGCTGTAGACAAGGCCTTACAGAGTCCAAATGGACACCTGGACTTGTTCCTGCGCTTCCTCCTGGGTCTTTCACTGCAGACCAATCAGACTCTCCTACAAGGTCTGATGACAAAGACCGAAAGTATCTCACTGACCAATCAGGAAACAGTTCAGTACATCAGGAAGAAGATCAATGAGAATCTGTCTGCAGAGAAAAGCATCAACCTGTTCCACTGTCTGAATGAACTGAATGATCGTTCTCTGGTCCAGATCCAACAGGCTCTGAGATCAGGAAGTCTCTCCACAGATAAACTGTCTCCTGCTCAGTGGTCAGCTCTGGCCTTCATCTTAGTGACATCAGGAGAAGATCTGGATGAGTTTGACCTGAAGAAATACGCTGCTTCAGAGGAGGCTCTTCTCAGGCTGCTGCCAGTGGTCAAAGCTTCAAACAAAGCTCTGTAAGTACCGACAGAATTTGGGTTTTTACACCAAATGCTAAAACCGGGAAAGAGTGACTATTATCCCAATTAAACTTTTTGACTTTCAGTTATAAAAAAATATGTTTTAAATAAATACTAGTTGAGCTGATTTTCAATCTTTGCACAAATTGATTTCTCCTATCAAAGGGGAACATAATTACTTTTTTTTTCTTCCATTGTTGTAAATAGTGAATTATGTTCAACCTCACTAGACCTAGAAACAAGAAATTAAGTCACATATATGCTTTTAAGAAATGTTCTGTCATCATATTATGTCTTAGCCTATTTCTGTACATTAACTGAAGATCTGCCTTCTCCCACATCCCCATCCTCACAGAAATATTTGTAAGTAAAGCTAAAGTGATCCAAGTTGCATAAATGAAAGGTTGGTCCACATGTCATTCTGATTAGAGGGGCTAACAGCTGCTGCTCTGTCAGCTCTGACTTTCAGAGAGCATCAGACACACTTGATTGAAAAAGCTGCACCAAAGTGTAAAAGTCAGTAAATCATTGGTCACATCAATTTTTCCAAGAAGCGCATGTTGAAACATAAAGTGATATTCCTCTGATATATTTCCTAACTTCCACCATATTCTTGCTGATGAACTTAGAAGGGTCAAAGACTCTGAACTGTCATGATTTTATCTAGTGCTCTGACCCACATGCAGAAGACCAAACAGAGAGACCAGGGAAGAGTTTAACAGGTTTATTTAGAATGATGAGATGAGTCCAGTGCTGCTCTGAACACTGTCGAACCAGAACTGGAAAGTGAGGGGAAGACACTGCGGTTAGTTCAGACTCAGTGGGAAATTACATTCTTTGACTTGAAGAGGAGGAATAGGTTGCAGACTCACGTTTCCAGAAAAAGGTGTCTCTTATTGAATCCAGTCGGTGTGAGATGTTCCAGTGATTGTCTTGTTCGATGGAGGGCAGACAGGGTGTACCCAGATTGCGGTTGTTCCTTGGTGAACGGAGAAGCTGACTGCCACTTAGATTTCCTGCGGTACTTGAACAGGTTATTGTGGAAATTAATCCCCTGCTCAGAGAGAAGCCCCAGACAATCCTTGGGGGAAAATGATGATCCAAACCACAAACTTGAATCCTCAGCTCAGTTTGGTTCTCAGAAGATTCTTCCAGGGGAGAGAAGGTCCGAAACATCGAGTTTGCAGGATGACTTCCTGCCGAGAGGCAAAGAAAAAAACAGCAAGGTTAAACTCAGTTTGACAAAAACTCAGCAAAACTCAGCTTGGCTAGAGTACCCAAAACTGGCAAACACTCTGGCGTCGAGGTAGTGGCAGTCAGCAGCTTAAGAGTGCTCCGTTAATGAGGTAACCCTCCGCAGGTGTGTGAGGAGGCCAACCAGAACCAGGCGCCGCCTGGTGGAGGAAGGAAGACAAACACAAACCACACAGACTGGATTCCTAACATGAACTAGAGTTAGATTCATACACTTATCAGCAGGTAGAGCCGATAGTCAAGTTACTTTTTGTGCTGTGTTAAATATCTAACCCAGAAAACGCATTAGTTTGCAGATTAAATACTGAGGAGACTTTTTTGGGGGATAGGAAATGTGTCATTGGAAAAAAAGGGAATAAATTAACTATAATCCAGAGTTAAACAAGAAATCTGATGTGTGAAGAAAACCAACTCCAAGCTTAATATTTATTCTTTGCTCCAACAAACATAACTCATACAGTTCTCCTTAATGGTAAACTGCATAGAACAAACAATCAAATAATGTAATAATAAAAGGGTTTGAGAGAAAAAAGAAAAGAAAAAAACATCTTTTACATGAGCTGAACTTTCTCTCCTCCTAAAAATTAAATGAAAGAATATTTTAGGAGATCAAACTACAGGAATATACAGCAAATACGCACCTGACTAATAATAAATAAAGAGAATATTTCTGTGCTGATATAGAGCTGAGCTTCTAGATCAAATCTAATACGTATCGTGAATCCAGGGACTTTCAGTTCATACTTTTTCATGACTTTAACATCTCATCATCATATTACAATGACAATAGTTGGTCACTTATCCAGCAAATTGTGTTTTATAGATTATCTACATACATGGCTCTTAAGAAGTTCAAGTACAATTATTTTATTTTATTTTATTTTGTTTGCTGATTTAGAAACAGTTGAAATAACTGATGATTTCTTTTTTTATTTTTTCTCTATTGATAGATATTATTTTCAGTTTAATACCGCCTTAATGCTGGACTAAGTATTCCCGATTTAGAATTCATTCTTTCTCAGACTAATATTTTTCCATTTAAACCCTGTTTGTAAAGACAACATTTCTGGTTTATTTAGGTCATTTTATCTAATTTGACCTAAACTACATTAAGTCACTTTACCAAGTCTTCTAAAAAAAAGAATCCTCCAAGGTTTCCATGAAGATCACTATGAAGAAACTTACTGTTGGGTCAGAGGAGAGATACGCCTAGATGAGACTAATGATGGACTGACTACAACAGAGGCCCTCGCTAAGCGAGTTTAAAGAAAGCCCAATACTCTATAAAGTATGATTAGATAATTTTCTTTACTCTACTCTTTTTCAGTACATTAAAATGGGACAAAGCATCCTAAAGTTTGAACTCTCAGGATATTCTAACATTGTGTCTCTTAGGAGGCAAAGTCCAGCTTACCTTTTTTTTTTATGCTTTAAAGTATTATTTACTTTAATAAACCCAGAGGGAAATTAATTCTCTGCACTTAACCCATCCCCTTGGGGAGCAGTGGGCTGCCATTCATCTGCACCCTGGGAGGAGTGTGGGGTTAAAGGTCTTGCTCAGGGAGCCAGTGTAGCAGTTCGTTATCAATTAGATGTTTTCTGTAGTTACTATTAAAAACAGCCGATTATTATGTTTGCTTGTTTGTTTTTTCCAGTTTACCATAGAGGAAAACTCTGTGAGTCATTCTTAAAAAGTTCAGTCAAGGCAACTGGACGTGACATTTTCTAGAAAACGTTTATCCTCTCATCCAATAGGCTTCTTCAGTTCTAACTAGCAGTGGGGAGCACTGAGATTAATATACTGCAGGTAGAGGGGTTTTTTCAGGCTTGACCATGACCTGGATGACTGAGAATCTTCCCAGATCTGTGAGTCATTTTTATTGGAGCAAAGCATAAATATTATCCAGAGGTTGGTGAACTTCACACTTTAGATTTCTTGTTTTTCTCTGTAATAGAGTAAATTAACTTCCTGTTACTCCGATAAGACATGCCCACATCTCCGATTGAATGACTGGTATAATCTTTATTCTCTATTACCCCAAAAATGTGTCTTTTGTGTTTAACCCATCTCTTATGGAGCTGTGGGCAGGAGTGCAGCTTTCATGTAGTATTTCTGGGCTCAAGCTGTTGGTTGGTGAGACACAGAGTGCCATTTTTTGGGAATCAAACCAGGAAACTTGCAGCATTCCGTGACCAGGCTATGTGTTTTAAACAACAGTCCATCCCTCCCTGCTTTTGAGTTATTTAACTCAACATGAACCAAGCCTGTATTATTTAATTAGAAATAGAAATAAACATCTCCCTGTAGTTTGATTGTAGAATATCTTACATTTGAATTTTAAGCTCAGCTGTGTCATGAAGGCTTTCAAAAGTTAGCCCACATGCAGAAACAACTCAAAGGCTGGGTAAAAGTTTATTGTGGTTAGCAAAAACACAGACTGAGAGATATTCAGCTGGGTAACACTGTTGGACTGGTGAACGGGAACCGAAAACTGAAGGGGGAGATCACAATGATCAGTTCAGGGACCGTAGGAAAAACGTATGAGGCTTGAAATTTGCAGGAGAGGCACTTACGTTTAGTGGGTTCTTGGTTACTCTTTGGATCCAGCTTGTGGGGTTTTATCCAGAGATGAAAGAACTCGTTGGAGGGCGGACAGGCAAAATAACGTTTGATCCAGAGGAGTAATGCAGCGGACTGTCACTTGGGAACTTGAACGGATCATGTGGAGGTTTTCCCCTGCTCAGTGTATTCTCAGTAATTCCTTCCAGGGGAAGAAGGTCCAGGAATTCAGTTTTACAGGAAGGCTTCCTGTCGAAGAGCAAAGACAAAAACACATTAAACTCAGAGAAACAAAGCTAGGTTAGACTCTGCTAATCTCAACTTGGCTAGAGTACCCAAAACTGGCAAACACTCTGGCATTGAGGTAGTGACAGCCCGCTGCTCAAATACTCCTCTGGAGATGACCCAATGAGCCGCAGGTGTGCGGGGAGGCCGAAACGAGGACAGGGCACCATCTAGTGGTGGAAAAAGAAAACACAAAAACAACCCACACAAACTGAAATCCTAACAAGCTGCATATTAGAGAAATACTCCCTGTGTGATAACTTCAAAATGATTTGTAGCATGGGGTTGGCTAAATATTCAATATTAAATAATGAAATAGAGAGAGCCTGGAAGGTGAAGGCAACTGTATTGCTCCCGGTCATTAAAGCATGCAGGGCAGTAACCTCCAAACTGAAGAAATAGCTCCAACAAATACCTGGAGAAACATCAGAGATCTCAGTCCATAAATGCTCAGTTCTAGGAACAGCTAAAATACTGAGAATAACCCTCAAGCTCGCAGGCCTCTGGTAGAGGATCTGAACAGGACATGAAAGAAACCACCCACCCCACTGGAGGAGGAGGGGTTGGTGAGAGGGCAGTTTTATATACGTCATTTATACATTTTCTTATATTTCTTTAATTTCCATCTTTTTTTTTGCATTCAATGGCTCACTAAGTTACATTTTAAGCTTTTATTTCCCCGATTGATAATAGTAACGAGTCTTTTATTTATTTTCTTATGTATTTTATGGAAATATTGCTCCTCCATTCTGGACAATATATTGTAGTTAACTCTATGTTAGAAGAGAAAACATAAGTTTGGTGTGACAGTTTAGGTGCTTGAAGTTTATTTCCTTTTATTTACAACAAACTCATTTAAGTGGGAAGATGGGATATTTAGGAACCAGCCCTTTGAACATTTATTTGAGTAATAGAGCTCTTGCCTGTAGTTTGTTCCAGGGTCTGTTGGATTGCAAAAGCAACCACCTGCGCTGCAGGGCTTCTATAAATCTGAAAAGCATTCCTGTAAATTTTGATGCAGTTATACAAAATTGTTTCATGCACCGTGCTTTTCATATACCCTCGGTAATGTCATATTACATACATTACTTTTATCTTACATTTTTTAAATCTTTTTTTCTTTTGTCACACAACATAGAAACATGTGTTTCATCTGTTCTGTTTAATGTGCAATTTTTTGTTTTATTAAATCATAGTTCTTCATTTCTGTCTCTTTCTCTTCAGACTGAATGACTGTAACCTCTCAGAGAGAAGCTGTGAAGCTCTGGCCTCAGTTCTCAGCTCCCAGTCCTCTAATCTGAGAGAGATGGATCTGAGGAACAACAAGCTGCAGGATTCTGGAGTGGAGCTGCTGTTTTCTGGATTGAAGAGTCCAAACTGCAAACTGGAAACTCTCAGGTCTGAACATCCATCCAAGTTACATTTCAGGCCTTGTTTTATAATGTTGAATGTTTATGTGATAAACTTAGTGAGAATTGGAACATTTTTACAGCAAATTAAAAAAAATCGAAACTCACAGTTCTGAATGTTATTAATTACTTTATTAGTTACATAACATTGAATAAACCGTAAAAGGACTAAATTTATGAAGCTCTTTCCAAATCATACTTAACTCTCAATGTGTTGTTAATCTTGGTCACATTGATCCTATCAATCTCTCTAATGTTCACACTTTTACTCATCGATACTCAGACTGATAAACACTTAGAGTTTAATGCGTTGCCCAAAGGAATAAACATGTCAAATAGGAAAGCTGGAGTAGTCGACCAACCTAGCAACAGCATTCCAATAGAAAGTATTACAGGCTTGGAGGTGCAGTAGTCTGTATATTGAATGAATAAAGCATTATTTTATTTCTGAAGACATGCGGGATGTTTTTGTTTTAAGTGAGCAAACAGAGAGGATTCCCAGATGCCATTGTAACCGGGTTCTGCTTCACTTCACTGTACCAGACCGGCCCAAGTAACCCCTCGACTCTGCGTTGTGTAGTTTTTCTAATGAAGACAAGGAGTTTCTGGGTGATCAGGCAGTTTATTTCCTGAATGAGAACACATTGGGGTTTGAATCAGTGCAACAGCTCAGCTTCACTCAGCACACTCTCATGCAGCTTTCACAGACTGGCCCAGAGTACATTAAAACATTCTTATTTTCAATATACATTGAAGAATACAATAATAAATGATTTACCTGAATGAGAACACATTGGGGTTTGAATCAGTGCAACGGCTCAGCTTCACTCAGCACACTACAACAGAGCTTTATGTTAGCTTTTTAACTTAGCACATGAAGTGTTTTCCAGCATTAACAAAAAGTATGAAAATTAGTGCCAAGCACTCATTTACTTAATAGTCATTACACACTATTTGTCTAAGTTATTAAAAAAATGTCTTTCACTACGTTTCTAACTCTTTTCTACTGTGTGCTGAAGAATGCTACTCACCTCTCATGCAGCTTTCACAGACTGGCACTGAGTACATTGAGCCAGCAGCATATAACAAGCCACACAGAGGGAGGGCGCTATTTCCCCATTCCACTGATGTACTTAAAGGAATAGTACACCCAAAACATGATTAGTAAAAATAGATGATACAAACATAATAAGAGATGAAGATAAAGTTGAAATATTGGCAAGAACGTTTAGTAAAATTCATAGTTCAAATAATATTAGTGAAAATGGAAGAAAAGGTAGAGACAATCCAAAAATTAAATATAATGATTTTATACAGAGCGTTGAAGAAACAAATAATTTGTTAAATGTTGAGTTTACAAAAACGGAATTGAACAACGCACTTAAAAAGACAAAAAACACAGCACCAGGTAAAGACCAAATCTGGTATAGAATGATAGGGCAACTTAGTGAAAAATCTAAAGATATAATATTACAACTATATAATACAATTTGGGAGGAGGGAAAATTACCGTTGAACTGGAAGGAATCAATTATAATACCAATAGCCAAACCAGGAAAAGATCATTCAAACCCAGAAAACTACAGACCAATAGCCTTAACATCTAATTTATGTAAAATAATGGAAAAAATGATTAATAATAGACTAGTATATTATCTAAATAGTAAAGGATATATATCAAAATATCAAAGTGGTTTTCGAAAAGGGAGGAGCACTAACGATCCAATGCTCTGTTTAGAGCACGAAATTAGAAGAGCACAAGTAAATAAAGAAAGTGTAGTGGCTGTATTCTTTTATATAGAAAAGGCATATGACATGATGTGGGTGGATGGATTATTAATTAAATTATACAAGTTTGGTATTAAAGGGAGAATATTTAAATGGATTAAAGACTTTTTAACAGGTAGGAAAATACAAGTTAGAATAGGAGAATCTACCTCAGGAAAATAAATAGTAGAAAATGGAACTCCGCAGGGTAGTATTAGAAGTCCACTATTGTTCTCAATTATGATAAATGACGTATTTAAAGATATTGAAAAAGACATGGGGTGTTCACTATTTGCAGATGATAGAGCTGTTTGGGAACGAGGGAAAAATGTTGATTTTATTGTTAAAAAATTACAAAAGGTTATTATTGAAATAGAGAAATGGGCATTGCAATGGGGATTTAAGTTCTCAGTTGATAAAACGAAAGTAATGTTATTTACTCAGAAAAAAATAAACAAGGAAATAAAATTAAAATTATATAAACAAGAGTTAGAGCAGGTAAAGTGTATACAATTTTTAGGATTATGGTTTGATGAAAAATTAAAATGGCACATACATATACAAAAAGTTGTTGATAAATGTAAGAAAATTTTGAATATTTTGAGATGTTTGGCTGGCAGTGACTGGGGAGCAGATAGGAAATCACTAAAACAGATTTACACAAGTATGATTAGATCCAACATAGACTTTGGTTGTTTAGTTTACGGTTCAGCAGCTAAAACACATCTAACCAAATTAGACATTATCCAACATCAGGCACTAAGATTATGTACTGGAGCATTTAAAACCACACCAACAGCAGCATTAGAAATAGAAATGGGAGAAATGCCATTAGATTTAGGAAGAACAAAATTAGAAATTAATTACTGGTTAAATTTAAAAGGAAATAATGTGGATCACCCAACTTTGGATATTTTAAATCCATGCTGGGAAAAAGAAAAGAAAGAAATGAGGAGTTTTGGATGGACAATTGAAAATAAAATAAAAAAAACTTAAAATGAATAGTTTAGAAATGAGTCAAACAACACCAATATCAATTATACCTCCCTGGATTCTACCAGAAGCAACAGTAGATATGTCACTAATGGAAAAGAAACAAGATAAATCGTACACGGTAGATATTAATTTAGTACAGTTACATTTAGACAGTTATTATCAATATATTCAAATTTATACTGATGCATCAAAAATAACTGAGAAACTAGGAATAGCATTTGTAGTACCAGAATTCAATATAAAAATAGGAAAACGAATTACAGATGGATTATCAGTATACACAGGAGAAATGTTGGCAATATTATTAGCGTTACAATGGGTAGAAGACATAAAACCATTAAAAACAATAATATGTTCAGATTCAAGCTCTGCATTATTAAGTTTAAAAAATAACCAAACAGATAGTAGGATGGACATTTTATTAGAAATAAATCATACACTGTTCAGAATATGAAACATGGGGCTGATAGTTACATTTGTGTGGGTTCCAGCACATGTTGGGGTAGAAGGAAACGAGAGGGCAGATAAAATGGCAAAAAGGGCAATTAAACATTCTATTAGTTTTATAGTTAAAATAAGTAAATCAGAAGGAAAGAGTATTATTAAAGAGAAACTTATGGAAATTTGGCAAAAAAGGTGGGATGAAGATAAAACAGGAAGATGGTTTTATAAAATTCAGAAGATGGTAGGAGAAAGAAGAAATGGAAGAAGAAATAGAAAGGAGGAAAGAGTGATAACAAGGTTAGATTTGGTCATACAGGACTTAATTATACACTTTTTAAAATACAAAAACATAAAACGGGCAAATGTGATTTCTGTGATAAATATGAAACTATAGAACATGTTATATTAGAATGTCATAAATATGAAAAAGAGAGAAGATATATGAGGAGAGAGTTTGAAGACATTAAGGAGAAGGTTAATTTATTAGATATACTGAGGAAAAATCTAGGGAGTAAACACATACAAATAATTATTCGATTTCTAAAGAAAACGAAATTATTTCATAGAATTTAATTATAGTAAGTGTGTTTGAGTGAAGGAATGATATAAAAAGATGTGCACAAATATGTATATATTTTTAAGTGTGAATGTGTGAATGTATGTTTAGAAGAAGTTAGGGTAGAATGTATCAGGATAAATATTTAAACCATCACGAACCACACTCCATACCAGTAAGTGGCGGTAATGCTACTAACAGTTTGTTGCCAACCGCCATAAAACTTGACAAGAAGAAGAAGAAGAAGAAAACATGATTAGCCTTCATTTTCTACTCACCCCCATGCTGAACAACACTCTGGAGTACTTTTTTGATATCTCAAATGCATCTGGAGATCTGGGAGGCTTCTTGCTGTCTGCTGACATTCAAATAATGGAAGTCCCTAGCGCCCCAGGCAGAAAGGTCCATAAAAGTCCACAAAACGTGTCAATATTCCTCCATACTGCTCGTCCAATGTATTCCAAGTGTCCTGAGTGGGTAGCGTCCATAATTTACTCGAAACGAAGTCATTTAGAATGTTTTTAGAGCATAAACAGTAGTGTATAGGATTTCCTAAAAGCGCGTTCACGAGTCTACGGAAACCGCGGCAGACCAAACCAGATGAAAGTGCGCATTCAGCGTCTGCTCTGCCGATAATGCAAGCGTAGAAGAAGAAATGTGCTGTTTACCTGTGCAAAGAACCTTGTGCTCACCTGGCTCACGGCAGAAAATAAACAGGTGAAAAGCGGAACTTCTTCTTCTACTTCACAAGTCAGCTCTCAGTGGAGGAGGAGCCTTTCCTGCCGTCCCTCTCCTGGCCTCAACAGCTGAACAGTTAGATGCTGATCCTACAGCATCAATAACAAATATCCACGTTGGTCTGGAGGGAGCTGCCATTCAATGGGCATGAACCCCAGAGCTGAATACTAAATGGGTGATGTGTCTAAATCAGCAACACTGCTGCCCTCTATAGGAGGGAATGAGGAAGGTCAACTATCCCTCTATCTCCCCTCTTTAAAGGAAATATACACTATATACTTGTTATAAGAAAAAAGTGATAGATGAAAAAAATTCTATTTAGTTTCCGCAATAAACAATAAATTTATGTTAATCAAGCAAGCAAGATGGACAAAAAAAATTACGTCTTTTTTCTTTCATTTCTATGAAGTAGCTAAAAGATGAGAAAAGCTTTTCACTGAAGATCATTAAGCTTCTGAGTTATTTAGAAAAACCTTTATTTGAATCTT